AAAAAATTACATCCCCACTTCACGCGTAAAAAAGGTACGAGTACGCTGAAAAAAACCTTTTTATTTTCAAGATTATATTTTACCACTTTGTCAGCGTACTTAACTAAAACATATATGTAAAATCATAGCAGCTAAGCTGCGGACAGACGGAAATGGAAAAACTTTGGATTTCCCGTTGACTACGGACCCCTAAAAAGGTTTATAACGAATGTATGATGACATAATGTGATTTTCTGCGATTGCACCATTGATATATTACCGTAAACAAATGTAAAGCGAGTGCGATATTGCCGAGCGTGTTCGAACTAACGAATGCCTTGCGTTCTGCAGATGTACTGAATGTATTAGTTCGAAATTGCAGCGATTTTCACAGCAGGAGTAAACGTTTGCTTACTAGATTCGTGCATCGTTCAAGTTGGTAACAGAGTTACGGGATAGAAAATCACATCCGTTTTAATAACTTAAATATATTCTTGAAATATTCATAGATTTATGTTTTTGGTGTGGTTCCTAAAAAAACATACATTTTTTCGGTCTTTTACTTTTCGGGTTCCATATTCCCAAAACTAACATATGTTCATTAGCAAATTGTTTCTTCACAAATAAGTAGAAGGGAACAACAACGCCATCACCAATATGACACGTTGAAACGTATTTCATACTGTTATTTTATAAACTCTTAGGAACAGTTTATGAGTAGGACATTTGAGAATGGATTTTAGATGGGACTTGAAGGGCGCACTAGGCAAGCTGATGTAATTTTGTTAAATGCAAAATAATAACAATTAATTTTTGAATCCAAAAACTTTTAAAGAAATTTGAAGAGAAGTTGATGTTTTAAAAAGCTTTGTGAAATGAAAATGTTTGAAAAAGTGTCAAAAGAGTTGTTTATGACTTCGAAGCAAAAAGATCATTTGTCGAAAAGGTTAATTATGACGTCAAAGGTTTGACAATCTTTTATCATAATGTCAAAAAATATAATTGTGAAATTAGATAATGAACACCATGAATGAACATTGGAGAATTCTTTATATAATAAATATATACTTTTGTCCTCTTTTCTCCATTTTCCGGATACGGATTTAAAATCCTTTTTTAAAAGGATCAAAAGATTCTTTAATTGTTAATACTATTTATAATCGGAAAGCAGGAACAAGGATATTTGATAATCATTTTTTTTATTAAAAGCTATAATAGCTTTGAACGTTTTGTTTGTACAATAGGAATGGGCTTTCATGTTTCTTAGTTATATTATTAACAAAAAATGTATTCTGCTATTATAAAACACTTCAGCTTTTAATGAAAGCTTTCCCCCTGTTTTTGTTACACGGCGAAAGAAGATTTATAGTCGAGAAATGTATCAAAGTAAGACACCCACGACAACTGTTGCTTAGGAATGAGTAAGAAATACTGCAATGGCGCCTCCGGGATTTGTACGGCACAGATTTTTGATGTCGATATAACAACGCTCCCCAGTCGAATGTATAATATTTTATATTCCAAAGCTTTTGCTAGAGATAACATATAATATAAGTACATATTTCCAACATTCACACCAACTAGCCTAGCCCCAAACTAAGCACTGGAGGCTTGTGTTATGGGATACTAGGGTAACGGAAAGAATACATTTAACTGATTCATATATAAGTATATTTATAAAGAAATACATATTAGACAACCATGACTAGAGACACTGGAGTACAAAATTCTACTTATGTGAAGAAATAAATAAAGAATTTATAAATGCTCGTATTCTTCACACAAACATCCGCGCGCTCCCACCGGGATTCGAACCCGGGACTTCTCGAGTAGGCGACACCTTGAAACCCGGCATACAAACCACTCAGTCACGGAGGTCGTCAACATCGTGAACTGGTATCCCGTTCACCATCCTACACATTCGATGTTCTTCGCGTTAATTAACCTCGTTTGTGTCGCTTAAACCAAATACGTAGAAAGAGCTACCCGCCCGCTGCTCAGTATACTCACAGCTTAACTAACCATAAATTATGTTACCGTCTCAAGTTCGATGAAACTACGGCGTAGAGTTTACCGTACTGTGTTAGCATAAAACGGGTGGTGTAATTATAGCTACTGTTGCGCAATTATTTTACCAAAGACAACGTATGATGAATGGAAACAAATATTAACTTCGATAAAAAATAATATGCAAACTAGTATCGGTCGGGCGCACGAGCAAGCTTCTAGATGAATCGAAACATAAAGGTTTCTCAAGGAATTTTACGAGGCGAATAATCCCGAAAGCGGCCCACACAATTCTTCATTTCATTCACGTTCCCCTGCGATGAAACTTTTTCTCTGCAATTTTTCTGTGGAGGGCGGGGGATTGATCAGGTGGGGCGGCTTGCCAGTCGCGGCACGTAGTGCCTTCCCGCGCCCGCGCCCAACCCCGCGCCGCCCGGTGAATACAAACTTCATTAGCCGTTTGATAATTAGCCCGTTAAACGCCCCTCACTCACCCACCTACGATCTTCTCTTTTAAATTGATCTTATCGTAATGCACAAACAATTCTGTTTTGAAAACAAAATTTACCGCGTATCCAATCTAAAATACAAACCGTAAAAGATAAATGTATCTAAGAATAAAAGAAATAGTGGCAAATTAAAACTTCGAAATAAATAAATATTAACAGAAATTTTAAGTTGTTAGCAATACAGACATTTAATGCGTGATAAAAATAGATGGTTTAAATGAGCAATATTAATCGTTTATTTAAGAGAGACCCCAAAAGGAAACTTGGCTCAGAAGCGTATAATAAAAAGTGACAATTTGGCCGGAACACGACAGGAAGGAAGACACGAAACAAAAGGGAGTGCGCGCGAGCCAGCAACGTCGCGGCAACTTAGAAAAATTAGAAAACAATGGAGCAGGAAACTCGTTTTCTCCGGAGTGTCTGCGCCCTTGCCCTCTCGTTACGATCTCTAAAGCCGTTCGCCGCCCATCCTCACAGAAACCTGTCCGTTTTACCAAGTCCGTATCTGGAGCTTTCGTAATAATTATGGTTTTCACGCAAGTCACACAGGCGTTTTGAGAACACAGCTTAAGAAAAAATTATATCTATCCACAAACCAGGGCAAGCCAGCATAGATGGAATAGGAAGATTTGACCAAGAGTTAGCATGTGGGCCTAGTGTGGATTAGTGCTAACGGCTGTAGATGTAGACAGGACCAACGGCTTAACATGCCTTCCAAAGCTCGGAGTAGCTTCAGACAAATATTTTTTGGTCATCGAACCTGTTGGCCGTGTCGAAATTTCTCTAGCATTTCTCAGGCTGCACATTGACGGATTATAGGAGACATGACGCAGGAAACAATTCTTAATATTTTTGTCCATTTTTTATTTCCTGAGCTTGATTCATGGAATGACTAGTATAACCGCTACAAATTATAGATTTTCGAGGAAAACACGGTGGCCTGTAACATATGCACGATACCTAATATGGATACTGTCTGACTAGGCTGCAGATGCGTAAAAACTTGTCGAATTTAAAATCAACAGACAATCACCGGACGGTCTAGTGTTTGTTTCGTTACTATTTTGGGTTTAATATTTAGTAACATGCTTCGTTATTTCTGTGTAGTGAATACATGGCTAAAATGGAAAGTTGTTCGTCGCACACATAATATTCGAAACAATGAACGAACTTTTAAGTAACCAGTATTTTATTCCACACTTATATAAATTTATAATTTAGACTTATTCTCTTTGTGCTAATTATAAACATATTGTTTTGTGGACGACCCACGACATTTTATAAAGCTTCGTGTTCGTTAAAGTTTGTTGTTTAGATCGCAATTCCTTTCTTGTTTCGTAAATGTTTAATAACCAACACCACATACTTAAAACTGGTGCAAAACAAAAAAAAAACTCTCTCAGTGTTTTATTGTAAATTTTCGCTCTGAAATTATTTTGTTGCTATAGCTGCTATTTACTTATTGCTATCCGTATGCTTGGCATAGATAATTGATGTATAAGTATATTTTTAATGCAAGTCATTTTGTATTAAATTTCCTTTAAATATACTTTGCCTGGAATTCACAACAAAAAATATAATAAATAAATAGGCAACATAGGTAAGTGGCCCTGAAAATTTAAATGATGATTTTTTCTACAATATCAACAGTGTTACTAAATAAGAGTGTGAGCCTCCTATACAAACAGTGACACCGCATTCCTAACGGTAAGAAATGAAGACGACAGCAGTTTTCATCGCAAATGTGTAATAAACTTTTTGACGGTATAAAAAAATGTGTACTTAAGATGAATATTGGGAGCGATTTCACGATTCTGACAAAAAACAGTAGTTGATAAATATTACTAAAAACCATGAAATAGAAAAGTATTTTAATAATAAAAAAGTAAAACGCCTAGGATTCGCGAAGCCTCGAATGCGTCACCTGCTTGTCTGTAGAAGTGACAGTATGGACGTTACTTTGTACTGTTTGACGTTTTAATGAGAGCCGTGTGACGTCACCTGCCAGTAAGGCGACAAATTTGATAGAGAAACGTTTCTTTAGCATATTTGAAAACAAAAATTTTATTTTCGTTTTTTTACTGATATACGCAACAGAATTTTATATACATAATTTATGGAGTCACTATATACACTATTAAATACCTAATGTTATCAAAAACTTGTCAAATAGCCTATTGACTATACCACAATGCTATTTGTTTTTGTAGGGTAAGTTTATCCATTCAGTTAATCCGGATGGTCTGATTGTGGAAGTACTAGGGTTAAGCTTGGCACTTAACGATTGGATTTAGTTGGGCTAGAGCAAGCCCGGCGCACCTATGAGCCTGATCGATATCGTACACCAGAAATTTAAACTGATACATACATACTTATTTATGTATAGGCTTAACTTTGTAAGTTAACCTTTGCGTCTAGCGTATGTCTTTGGTTTGCTCTTTGCAGTACTTACTTACCTAATGACTTATATTATCAATAGTTCAAGATTGACAGAGTTTTTTTCACAATAACTGCAATGCGAAACTCTATGACGCACAGTGTTTTAACAACCTCGATTTTGTGACATGCCCTTTTTATCCCAAAGGACAATGGCGAACTCCCATACAAATTTTTGTTGAAATTTTTTTTTGCGTCTTTAAATGAATTGCATGTTAAATCATAGAGTTTCGATTCTCGATTTAATTCGTCTTATTTCTATTATTATAGGAAGTCTGGATTTATAGATATTCTACTTTGAAGTTTTGGAGGTTATGTCATACCAAGTAATACAAAAACGAATTATTAAAGTATTTTCAAGAGTATTTTTATATCAAAATAAAAAATACGTGAACGGAACTATAAAAGTATACGGGTTCCGTAGATTAGTGACGAAACAAATGTTTTTTATAATGTATGATCAGTGGGCGTAGGTACTTACTGACCAACCTCGTCAAAATACTTAATAATACTAAACAGACCAGGGTTATTTAGTTCGAATACAATGTCTGTGCTGTAAGAAGTACTTAACAATTTGAAAATGACCACAGCAATAGTTAAGTATAAAAAACGATTTCTAGTAGTGTAATGATGGGATATTAATTAAATATGAAACACTTTTTTATATATTTTTTATTCCATATCTTTGATCACAATATCGTAGATAGTAGATACAATGAAATAAAATCCACAGTATGGGACAGAATCTAGTCCAAAATCCACAGCAAGAAGTCGTCCGAAATATCAGATTCTGAAGTCTTAGGCAAGCACTACTCAGACAGTCGCAGGGAAGATTTCGAGAGTCCAAATGCAGTCCAAGTGACTTAAAAACACAAATCACAGAAAAAACCACAATGCGCCGATTTAAATTATTTTATTTTGCAATACGCATGCACTTAGCACAAGCAACGATAATGTTTACAATAACAACAACAATTCGATGACAAGCATGACAGTGACAGTTATAGTTTTTTGCGTTAGATTGTCGCCATACTCTTTTTGTATTGTGGAGATTATTTATTATGGTTTCAGTATAATATTGAAAAATAATGTTTCCCGATATTTTTGATAGATAATTAGATACAGTTTAAGCGTAAAGTGATGCAAAACATACGCACAACATATTTAAAGTTGATTTCATCACTAAAATCACATGAAATAAATGGCTCAAAAGCCATGATGCCAAGCCACAATAAAAATTAAAAATAAATAGTCAATTGTGTTACTTTTTTTTAAGTTTTTAATTCCAGACTTAGACAACCCTCCTGAATTATTTAGTAAATCTTTTGAGATTATTTTATTAACATTTCTGATAATGACATCTATAGACGCTAAAGATTTACTTCAACAAATATTTCGCCAGTGTCCTTTCTATAGATTAAGCTATTATAGTACTACGATACGTAGTTTTCGAGAAAAAAAAAATTCAAAGTTAACCCTTTTTTCGACACGGAATTTTCAAAAAAAACAAAATTACTCTTCTATTCAACATGTTTTTTTTTGTTTTGATTAAATGTATATTATGTGGCTTTGTACAATAGATTTTCCCATAAAATTTAAGCCTTCTAAAGTAAATCGTATAGACGATATGTTTTATTTTTCAAGTTTTCATTTATATTTTTTTTTTCTTTAGTATAACGGCGTATTCGGATAAATTTTATTCACTAAAATATTGAGCTTTGTTGTCCCTATATACAGTATTTTTTTTTGCAACCGAATACCACGTTATGTAGAAGTTATGAGCTAAAAATTTTTTTTTCAGGGTTGGCAAAAATTTTATTCCGGCCATTTAATTATGAAATTGAAATATAAATTACTTCTCATAAATAAATATTTACAATGAATCATTTATTTCTGCATTTATAACGAAAGAATCGACGTAGTCCTCAAAATCAATATCCCTTACTGCGTCACTTGGATCTGTCACTTTTAATAAAGAAATTATTGCAGATGGTAATGGTGTTAAGTTTTGATTAGTTTTTCTCTCTTGCATTCGAATGTTTGATAAAACAGGGTCCGATGTTTCCAGCGCTCTATTTAACAAATTTACGGCTCATTTTTCGGGTATGCTGCTCCCTATCGTTCCGCCAATATTTATTTCGGATCTCGGCATCCTGCTTCGAAAGCACCCCTATAGGTATAGTGGCTGATTTGATAATATCGGCACCACGAATTAAAACTTTGTGCAACGTTACGATCATCGGACACCAATTATAGTTAGCGACATACTTATAAGCCAGATTTTTACAAAAATCCCTAAACCGGTTGGAATCAATTGCATGATTGCTAGACAAAACAATACATAATGTGTGGAGATCATCCAACAGCCATTGTTCGATCCCCAGGATTTGGGAAAATTTTTGGCGGAACTTGTCTGACAAAGCCATTCGTGCTGTATTGCCATCATTTGTTGTACCCGAATTGGGGCGCACTACGTCGACCAGTAAACCCATCTGCTTTCTCACTTCATTTTGAATATTTTTTTTGCGCTCTTCATTTGACTTTGACATAATCTATAGAATTGTGTGGGATATGCCATTTTTTTACATCCATTTTATAGCCAAGTTGTAAGAGAAATTCTAGCACTCGTATACAAAAATGAAGCGGACTTAAGCCGTTAATCAAAAGCTCTCGATTTAATGGCTTAGAAAATGCCTGGCCCAAGTTATTGAAGGTGGTCTATGTTAAGCCACAATACGGGAACCCATTTGGGATGACGTATTTAATAAAATGTTAAGGACTTTTCTGTCAATAGCTGGATAATATAGTTCACAACTTACAGGAATATTATGACCTTGTGAGGTTTTGCCTTGCAGTTGCAAATTAGATATTTGATTTTCAATTAATTCTTTTTCTGCTAGAATTAATTCGTCTTTGTTCTCTTTTCTATATTGAATATGAATAGGTCTGCAGTATCTATGTGATTGTGGAGATGGATTAGACCAAACAACATCCCTTTCATTTAACACAAGCTGCAGCGGAACAAATGTAGTAGCAAAAAGATTATTTTCATCGTCACTCCACAATATTGTATAATTGTTCATGCAATATACAACAAATACCACTGCCAAAGTAACAAATACCCTTCAACGGCCAAGTCACAAAACATTAACTATAATAATAAAGAAATCGCAGTAAGGAACCTTAGACTTGGCACGACTTTCTCTAGATTTCATTACATTTTAGAGATAAACAAGCAGCTCCATCGAGACTTGGCTAGTTTTTTACAGAATGTTTTTGGTGGGATAAATATTATCCGAATACGCCGTTATTCTTAAGAATAAAAATGACATCGAAAATTAAGAAAAAGGTCATATGGTCTATACGGTTTGCTTTAGAAGGCTCAAAATTTGTGAAAAGATGTATAATACAAAGCTATATATAAACCTTTAACCAAAACTAAAACAATATGAATAATAGAGGAGCCAGAGGATTTTTTTTAAATTCCTAGTTCTAAAATAGGTCAACTTTGTTTTTTTTTCTCGAAAACTACGAGGCGTAGTAATTTTTCAGTATTTTTCCAGTGTTTATAAAAGCTTAATTTATAGGAATTCGTGATAAAAAGGGCATGTCACAAAATCGAGGTTCTTAAAACACTGTGTGACGTAGTGGTTAGCGCGTTCGGTCTGCGATCGTGGAAGTTAAGCAAATTCCGCAATTGCTGATCTTAGGATAGGTGACCAAAAAAACTCATTATCTCGAGTTCTCCCGGCCTTCGGACGGCACGTTAAGCAGTTGGTCCTGGCTGCATCTAAAGTCGTTAGCAACCAAGAATTCGCTGAGGGTTCATGCGGTGAGTCATGTCATTCTTCCTATTCTTTACATAGGGTAGGTATATGCTCCAGCAGTGGGGACTCAAAAGCTGATGATGAACTGCAATATATACTGCAATATAATAGATACTATATACTAGACTGGGAACGAAAGAAATACGTAGCGTCTAACAAATAACATCAAGTAAAATTGGGTTAGCGAAATGACATTTAAATAAATAAATAATAATATAATCAACTATCTGAATTGTTTAGCCAAAATATTTTTTTATAGTATCGCTAATAAAATAGGCGTATTTTACAACTTCAAGTCTAAAGAAATATTATTAGAAAAAATTCCCCCCCGTCCAGATTTCAGACGGGAAATTCTGAGTGGAATTTCTTTCTAGTAACATTTTCATTAGATTTAAATATTAAGCAGTTAAATGCTTAAAAATAAAAATATAATAACTATTAGACATTGAAATTGCAGTACAGCATATTGCTAGAACGTAGCCTGTAATAGCTGGGATAAGTAGACAACCAGCAATAAGGTAGGTTTGCGGAGTTTTCACAGTTTGAAGACTTTTGGAACTTCGAGATTTATATATATATATATATATATATTACCAAGCCTGTCGATGAGAATCATAAAATGTAATCTAAAAGTTTAACTACTTTTCACGATTATTTTTATGTAATCTTCACTAAATATACTAACTTCGAAATATTAGCCTAGTTCTTTTATTAGGTGTTTTACACAAACATATTGGCTAACACTAGAGGCAACGAAACGCCTAATTAAGACACGAGACATTAAAGAAAAAGTTGCTTTTCTGTATTCCCTCACTGGGAATTGAATGCGGGACCGCAGAGTTTGCCGACATCTTAAAATTGACTTTGAAACACTAGACTTCATGGGGTTCGAACCGTACAAACATACAATAACGTTCCATCCATTGCGGGGTTATCATGTGGAAACTTAGACAGATAATGTCTTTACTATTATTAAGGCTGAAGAGTTTTTTTAGTTAGTTGAATGCGCTAATCTCAGGAACTACTGATTAGATTCCCTTTGAGAGTTAAAGTTGCCCAAAATAGTCAATTCCCTCAATGACATATAGCATATTCGTATTGGTTGGGCATAAGATATCCGGGTAAATAAGTGACAGGTTTATTGCCCATCACAGATAAAAAAAAACGATTTTTTTCTCCCATTAGCTTTTTATATATGGACGACAAAGTAAACAGCTGACATATTTGGTTTTGCTTTGATTTCGAGATCAAAATTGGATTAAAAAGTAATTATAAGAGGTTTTTGTCCGCTATAGTAGGAGATCCCAAGTGAGGATTTTCGGATTTACTCGAGCGCGGTAGAATAACGTAAGGGGGGCAACCTTGCAACTTGTTGAGTATTCCTACCATACCTGAGCCCTTTATGTGTATGGCCGAATTGTTTTGGTCGCGTCCAAATTGTCAGTCTTTTCAATAGAAGCTACTGGAACGTAACGTTTCTGATTACGGAAAATAAAAAACTGCCAGTTTGCATGGTATGGGGGCCGTACAGAGAGGTAGAATGTAGAAAAAGAAAATATTCGAGCGCGTCGGATATTGAGAAGGGATGTTATGTAAACCCTCTGACAATTTGGACACGACCAAAAGTCATTGCCGTGCCTACCCTAGCCGTTCGTCTCCATATAAAGGGCTCAGGTACGGTGGGAGTACTTCCCAAGGTGCAAGGTTGCCCCCTTACGTTATTCTGCCACGCTCGAGTAAATCCCAAAATCCCGCTTGGTCATCCCCTACTATTAGAAAACAATTCATTAAGTGGTCTAAAATAGCGAAATTTTTATGAAACTTAAGAATGCGTTTTATTTATGGATTAAAAATATTTGTCATTATTTACTTTCCTTATAAGATAAAAATAAATAAAGCAGATATTAGTAATACTATGTACACCTACCTAATACTCCATTAGGTTTACTCCCATGTCGGATCAATGATAATGATTGGCTGTCTGATGTTTACAATTGACATTTTCTTGAGTATCCATACTGACGCACACAGCGCCGCCTACATAAACGGCGAACTTGTTTACTTGTATTACCATAATATACTGAAAATACTTTTTCTTAATTATAATATTTATGTTCGTTCATTGACATTAATATAAGCTAAACTTCATGAATAATAGACATCGAAAAGAAATAAATACTTGTATTTTTTTAAAGTGTAAGTCACACAGTCGACGAGTTCTTTACAACCATTAAAGGGTAGGGCCCTTTAGTTGTAATAAAAATCATCGGTGACAAACCGTCAGCGGTTTATTAGTTTGTATGAAAAGTAACTGCTGTAAACTCTATATATTTTTCTCCATGGCTCATTTATTAGAGTTAGGTACCCAAAGGTTAAAAACGACACCCTATTGCTGTCACTCCGTCGTCTGTTTATCTGTTTGTACGCAGGTCTGTAGATCGTAAACGCATTAAGTTACAGAACTTAAATTTTGGTATTTTATATGGAAAGCTTGCACAAAACTGAATATGATCCCATACACGAAAAGAAGACGAAATTATTTTTTATCTTTTTACCACAATTTGAAACACATTGTCTAGAGCTTGTTGAGTAGGTTTTTTATTATTGTCTGTAAAAAAGAAATGGCGGCCCATCGAAATTGTTATTTTTAGACCATTTTTTTACAATGTCTTATCTAAATCGAAACTAGTTTAGAATGCGAAATTTTGGTACATGATTTCCGATATGCTGTTTCCAACAACAAATACTGAAAACGGCGATTCATAATGTACTCTGAAAGTTGTAACGAAAACAAACAAATGATTTACCTTTCGAGGATTGTTGCAATCTGCCATGCAATAGACGTGTGTTTTTTGCCTTTTTTTGTTCGATATTATAATATAGTGTCTAATCTTGTATAGATATTAATGTTACATCACCTTTTGTGTGCGAATTCGAGTTCGACTCGCACTTGGTCGGTTTTTACTGGTTGGGACTGTTGAACGCAAATCACAGTGACAGGTTGGCAGCTTATCGTTTGGATTAAGGATATGTTCTCCTTCTTGTTAGAATTTTGTTTTTCTTTTACTCTCAGAGGCTGTATGGACTCTCTAAAACCGAGTAATTGATGAATCGTGAAATTCGTCCTGTAGTGTCCTACTCTGCAGCATTAACAACTACTACGCACGTAACAGTAGGTTGGATGGCGTTGACTACCACTTCGTAATTCAATTTTAAGAGTGACGCGTGTAGGTCTTATTGAAAGACTGATTTATTTAGTATAAATTCTCGATGTACACTTAATTTTAGTCCTCGGGATGTTTGACGGTGAAAACTGCATGAAAATCCGTTCAGTATTTTTTCAGATCATCACGAAAATACAGACAGACGTGGCGGAGGACTTTGTTATAGAAAGTGGTAAATTGTGGGGAATACTGTAAAATCGCAACCTGGCTAAACAGCTCAATTTTTAACTCCAAAGTATGGGATAGACATTGTTACTCTTATAGAGCAGCAGCATTTGTTTTTTTAACATTAATGGGGTTTGCAATTTGCAATAAAAGTGGACGGGAGCGGGAGAGGGCGCGCGCGGTCGCGGGCAGCGGCGGCTATTCCGATGTAATTAAAACAAACAGGAGGAGGCCCGGCACTCCTCTCTAATTGCGTTCGTGTTGAAATAATCACGAGGACTCCAACAGAGGATACAGCCCAGCAATGCTGATCGATCAAACTCGATTTGTCAACGGGGTAGCGGTAAATAAGACTCAATGATTGATTCTATCTTCGTTCTCTTAGCAATTTCCAAATTTATATATTTTCCGTGGCGTTGCATACAAAAGATTTTATTTCATCTGCTATTAGAAAATGTTAAGATCGATTTTTTTAATGTAACAAAGATTTTCAATTCATCTCTATAATAAATATTCAAAGTGGGTGCCCTCAAAATAAATAATTTCGTATTCAAGGCTATATTAATTACCTGTAAATTACTTTAAGAATTATACCTTTCCCAAGTTCTATAACAAATCAAAAGTTATCAAGAGTGTAACAATTATGAGTGTTAAATGTGATGGATGTGTACTGTGTTATTATTTATGTTTAATAAAATAGCCATGGAACAATGGTGAGAGAGAAAAACTTTTTAACAGCAGAGCAATGGTGCATTCGGTACAACGGGTCCTAAATTACGCAACAAAATTTTCAATTTCAGTTAGATAGAGATAGACAGAAGCGAAGCGAGGACGGGCCACAAGTGTGAAAAACTTTTTTGAAATGTTCCCACATTTAACGCGCGCCCTTTCATGACAGGTAGCAACTTGCAAATCAATTTGATTTACTGTTTATCGCGGGAGAAGCGTACCGGTACTAGAACGGAACGTCAGTAGTTGTAAGCGCAGAGTAATTGCATTTAAAACATATTTGACGAAAAAGTAGATCGTACGTATAAGTATCGCCAATAGGGAAGGTCTAAAATAACCTAAAACCTAACTGTAGCGCTATATGTATCGGATGGAATTGAATGCTATAGAGTAAGATCCCAATACTGCCTAAGGTCTGGCAGTCTTAGGATTTATTGTCTCATGACCAAAAAATATGGATAATCGAGTAGTTTTAGTGTGTACAATGAACGTATACATACTCGTTAACTTGTGCTGTGTGCCACTTTTCAGGTAATAGGTGACACATGCACGTAAAAATTTTACTCACTTTACTTTCGATCCGGGGCCTGATTCTTACGTATGTTCTAGAGAACATTGTAAACAATTTGAAATTAATACTGCCAGACACATTCTCTCCGCAGTTTTTATTGCCAGACACTTCAAATGTCAAAAGCAAAATACACAAACTTACTTACAGCCTGGGACCTGATATTTATCTATGATATTTAGGGGGCTATTATTATAATTTGTAAGCTGCCAAACCAATGTTAGGGGCCAAAAATTTCAAAAGCTTACTTACACTGCCACTGTGAGAAAAGGCGCACTCATGGTTATTTCCCTTTTAAAACAGCTTCAGTATAGTCATCTTATAAATGGCGTAAAGGAAGACTATTACAATAATTAAACAATTTCTTTTTATCTAATTATTGAAATTAGAAAATAAGCAAGTTTGTGTTTTATGCTTTCGTCATTAAAAGTGTCTCACAATAAAAAGTGCTGACAGAATGTGTCTGGCAGTATTAATTTAAAATTGTTTACAATATGATCTACAATATGCGTAGGAATCACCCCAAGTAGCACAAGTAACAATTTAGGATATCTCTTTTGGTGTAACTCGGAACATTAAACATTACTAACCATTTGAAAAGGTTCAACCATGAACTAGAACCTGTGAATTATGCTTTAATCGTTATAATAGCATTTTTTTGGAGGAACAGATACTCTTGTTACGGTTTTTGAGTTAGTGCAGTACCCCTAGCACGAACCAACATCGAATTCGAATCGTTTGCGAGTCCGAAATGTCAATGTCAAATTTTGTATGGAAACTTGAACAGCAGCGCCACAAAGTACGTAACTAGAACTAAAAATTAGTACATATTTGACAATGACATTTCGTACTC